GTTTCATGGGGCTTCACTTCATGGTGCTTCACAGATATTGTGATTTTTACAAATTGAAGGTAAGACCATCCACCAGCAAAAAGACTATGACTCACTGAACATTGAGATCATGGTTAGCATGTTTTTAGCAATAAAACATTTTTACATTAAGGTATGTACATTTTTTTTAGACATAATGCTATTTTGTGCACTTAATAGACTATAGTATATTGTAAATATAACTTCTGTATGCACTGGGAAAAAAATTTGTGTGGCTCACTTCATTGTCATATTCACTTTATTGCTGTGATCTGAAATCAAGCCCACAATATCTCTGAAGTATGCCTGTACATTACTAGAAATTCCTTAAGTGAAGGTCTGTTGGTAGCAAACTCAGTTTTTATTTGAAAATATCTTTACCTCTTCATCACTGTTAAAATAAAACATTATGAGGTGTTCAATTCCAAGTTAATCTGTGGCATACTGAGGGAACTGAGTTGGAATGATTTCCTCCAGAAAAGATTTGTGTTTTCTTTTTCTAGGTACAGATGGGGAGGGAACAGTTGAGCATTACAATGTCTCAGCCTTTTGGGTATATTTTCTATTGTCCTATGGAGTTGGCTGTCAGTCTAATTAGTGAGTTTTGAAGGTATTCCCTTTTTCTCTCTAGCAGTTTATAGGATCTAATGTTTATTATTGGTGTTCTCTAATTTTATTGCAAGATTTCCAGAAATGGAGCTCTTATTGTTAATCTTTCTTGATCTAGGTTTTGAGTGTTAGATCTGTTGGCTTATCAGGTCTGGAAAATTCTCAGCTATTATCTCTTGGAATATCTCTTTCCTTTCTTTTAGCACTTCAATTAGACTGGTTTTAGACTTTCTTATTCCATCCTTTGTACTTTGTGAGCCTATACAGGCTCAATCTTCTTATCTCTCTGCACAAATGTCTCTTTCAGTTTATTAATTCTCTATTCAACTATGTCTATTCTGCTGTTTAACCCATCTGTTGAGTTTTTAATTTAAATTACAATGGTTTCATTTATGAAAGTCCTATTTTGTTCTTTTTCAAACTTGGCCAATCATTTGATAGTCTCTTGGTTAATTTTTTGATTATTTTTAAAACCCTTCATATGTAATACATTTATATTCTTTGTTTAATAACTCCAATACACCTGTCCTTGGAGATCTAAATCTATTATTATTTCTGTGGATGCTCAGTCATGATGGCTTTTTTCCTCATGTGTGTAGAATTTTTTATTATGAGCCAATATTTTGTTTACCTTAATCTGTGGCATACAAATGGGACTCAGTTGGAATTATTTACTCCATAAATAACATGTATGGTCATTTTCTGGGTATGGGTGGGAAGGAAGTAGTTGAGCATTACCAACCTGATACCTTAACTAAAAATTTTAGTAGATGTCTTAGAACAGTACTTTTTAAAGAAATTCTCAAAGTAAACTATTATTTATTCTTTCTTTCTCCTTTTCTTCTCACCATAGTGAAGACAGATTTCCTTACAGACCTCCTTACAGATTTCCTTACAATAAAATATCCCCTTTATTGACCAGTGGATATTTTCCCGGTCTACTTTCTCAGTAGGGGTCTAGCTTCTTCAAGTATTCTAGCTTAATGAGAGAGACTCAGCTTTGAACAAGCACATGATATGATCTCCCACTCCTCTGTGGAATACTAATCCTCACAGCTCTAGTGTGGATTCTGCATCCACACTGCCTAAGTTCAAATTCTGGCCCTACCACTTATTATTGACCATGAGAAAGTTGCCTAACTTCTCTGTGCTTCAGCTCCCCTTCTATGAAATGGGTGTCAGTAATAGTTCTTCCCTCATAGTATTGTTATGAGGAATAAATGAACTGATATGAGTAAAATGCTTAGGATAGTGTCTTGGCCCATAGGAAGTGCTCTAAAAGTGCTTACACTTACTCTGGGTATTTGTGTGTACCTCCATGTCAGTTTAAGACTCATTTATTCAGTTTTAGCTCATCAAACTTTTTAAAAAATTGATCTTAGATGTCCAGCCAAGATGGAGGCATAGGTGGACACACTGTGCCTCCTCGCATAACCAAAATTAAGGACAACAAAAATTTAGAAATAAAAAAAATCCAGGACAGAAAATTGAACTGTATGGAAGTCCTGACAACTATTCATCCAGACTAGTAAGAGGGGTGGAGAAGGGTCATGGCAGGAAAAAGTGGTGGCTGGCAGTCCCAGGCGTGCAAGGCATAGGTGGCAGCAACAGACCCCGGTGGTAGACCCTCGGCATGGGAGCGGGGAGGCAACGAGCAGACCCAGTGAGGCATGCAAGGCAGCTGGCTATCTGCAGCCACACATTTGTGCACAGATAAACCAGGTGAAAATGGACAATGAGACAGACCTCACAACCCAGGGCCCCAGGGCTGGGAAATAAAGCCTAAAAGCACTGATTGAAAACACTTGTGGAGGGTGAGGTGTTGGGAGAGATTCCCAGCCTCACAGGAGAGTTTGTTGGAAAGACCCACAGGGTCCTAGAATGTACACAAGCCCACCAACCCTGGAACCAGCACCAGAAGGGCCCAATTTGCTTGTGGGCAGCAGCAGAGGGGACTGAAATCTGACAAAGTGGAGCAAGCGCCATTGCTCCCTCTCTGACCCCACCCCCACATACAGTGTCACAAACCAACAACCGGGCTGCCCCGCCCAGGTGAACACCTAAGGCTCCACCCCTCATACGTAACAGGTACTACCAGACCCCTCCCCCCCCCCCGCAAAAAATGGCTCAAACGGAAGAACAAATCAAAGCCCCAAAGTCAATAGTTTTAAGTGACTAAGAGATAGCCAACCTATCAGATACACAGTTCAAAGCACTGGTGATCAGGATGCTCACAGAACTGGTTGATTTTGGTCAAAAATTAGATGAAAAAATGAAGGCTACACTAAGTGAAATGAAGAAAAATGCACACGGAACCAACAGTGATGGAAAGAAAACTGGGTCTCACATCAATGGAGTGGACCAGAAGGAAGAAAAAAACATACAATCAGAAAAGAATGAAGAAATAAGAATTTTTAAAAAATGAGGAGAGACTTAGGAACCTCCAGGACATCTTTAAACATTCCAACATCTGAATTATAGGGGTACCAGAAGGAGAAGAGGAAGGGTAACAGGTGAAAAACTTATTTGAACAGATAATAAAGGAGAACCTCCCCAATATGGCAAAGGAAATAGACTTCCAGGAAGTTCAGGAAGCTCAGAGAGCCCCAAAGAAGTTGGACCCAAGAAGAAACACACTAAGGCACATCATAATTACATTAGCCAAGGTAAAAATGAAGGAGAGAATCCTAGAAGCAGTAAGAGATAAGGGGACAGTCACCTACAAAGGAGTTCCCATCAGACTGTCAGCTGATTTCTCAAAAGAGACCTCACAGGCAAGAAGGGGCTGGAAAGAAGTATTCCAAGTCACAAAAGGCAAGGACCTATCTCCAGATTACTCTATCCAGCAAAGCTTTCATTTAGAATGGAAGGGCAGATAAAGAGCTTCTCATATAAGGTCAAATTAAAGGAGTTCATCATCAGCAAGCCCTTATTATATGAAATGTTAAAGGGACTTCTCTAAGAAAAAAAGTTTAAAAATATGAACCGTAAAAAGAAAGCAAACTCACAGTTATTAACAACCACACCTAAAACAACAACAAAAGCAAACTAAGCAAACAAATAGAACAGGAACAAAACCACAGAAATGGAGATCACATGGAGAGATAGCAACAGGGGAGTGGGAGGAGGAGAGACGGGGAAAAGGCACAGAGAATAAGTAGCATAGACAGTAGGGAGAAAATAGACAGGGGGAGGGCAAGAATAGTACGGGAAATGTAGAAGCTAAAGAATTTATGACACATGGACATGAACTAAAAAAGGGGAATGTGGATGGGAGGAGGTGTGCAGGATGGAGGGGAATGAAGGAAGGGAAATGAGACAACTGTAATAGCATAATCAATAAAATATATTTTAAAAATTGATCTTGAGGAGTTCATTTTCTTTCAAGCAACACTTAAAAGTATGCTTGTTATACTTTATCCAGCATCTGGTTGAATACCCTAGTAGGAAGGCTTTTTAAAACTATTTAGTTCCTGTATTATAGAGACCAAGCTGAAGGCAACATTCCAAAGAAAGTTCAAGACTTGACACAGGTCTCGGTCCCTTGAACATTTTCAGCTTTTCAGGAATAGGAAAGGCTAAACATAGAATAGCAAAGGGCTACTTTGTTCCAAGTTCTCCTTAGAGGCATGACCATGAGCCCTACTTTATATTCCAATGAAAGCCTTCCCCATACTGCTCTGATGACTCTCAATGAGAATGACTTCTTTCTTCTTTTCCTCAGTTAGGGCTGTGCAAAATTATCTATTAGAATATATGCATCACTTTATCTGCACCTTGTTCGACCTTACATCATCTGCACGTCGTAGTTCTCAATAAGTGTTTGTTAAATGCATGCATGCATGAATAAATGAATGGAAAAGGCAACGGAGGAAAAATGTATATTAAGAATAAGCTCTTTCTATGAAGTAAAACTAAAGTGCAACTTCCCCAACTTTGCAACATGCCAAATTTTCATTACCAATGCTAAATATTGTTTAAAGACATGGAGGCAACTCACTGAACAAAAGGCAAAAGCATTACAATTGGTTGCTCCTCAGGGATGAAACCAAGCACAAGAAGTGTTGAGTCAAGGAACTATTATTTTTCTTTAAAAACCCTCTGTGCTATTTGGTTTTTAACCAGATACTACTTGATTTTTTACTATGTATATCTTGATAAGAATTGAAATATTTAAAAACAAAGGTTAGTCAATTTTGGACTTGCTGAACTCAAAAGCAGCCTGTAATACATTTGGGCTCATAAGGTTTAGTACAGTCCTTAAAAAAAAAAAAGAAAAACTATGCTCCACATTCTCATTACCAGAGAATTGTTTACCCAAAGCTAAGTTGACAGACTTTGAACTTTAATAAGACACCTCCAGTGGACCTAACTTGGCTGAACAGGCTTCTGACCAGTGCCTAAACAAAGCCACAAGGGACAAAGTAAATTAATTATCTCTATGGTTTTCAAGATCTCTTGTTATCGAAACTTCTTTCTTTATACTCGTTTCCTCTGATCTTGTGGAGATGAAAATTGACATCCATAGTCATATTCTACCAAAAGAATGGCCAGATCTAAAAAAGGTAACGGTGATTAATTTGCTGAATTACTTTTGGAACTTCTTTGGGATTTCCCAATGCCTCTATTATAGACCTGTTTCTTCTTTGAGGGATTAGATGTTAAGTTTTTCTGATGTGGGAGTGCTTTAAAAGAGAGTGCTATTTGGCAGCTCTGGTTTCCTGGGTTTCAAAAATAACTTTTATATTAATTTTGAAAGAATGTGGATCAAAGAAATAAGTACTTTCTCAAAATCCCTTTCTTAAAGCATTCTTTAAAATTTCTGGACAATTTCAGTCAGGCAGTTTTACTTCCATTTAAATCACATATTCAGCTGCTAGGAAGATATGTGCCAACTACAGAATTTAAAGTTACAGTTTCCAATAAGAGACTATTAAAAAATGCAATATGATAGGCTTCCAGGACTTCTAAGATATATCTTCTTTCCCAAATGTTTAAAATAAGGTTTAGAAACACCAAGAGATAACCTGTGGAAATTTTTGTAGTCTATTTTAGGACACTGTCTGAAACCTTTGCTTTTTGATATTCTTTAAGCTATAAATCTTTGTTATGAACTAGAGAGAAGGAACATCAAAAAAAACATAGAGGAAATGACATACAGACTTTGCACAATGAATATCTCTAAAGACTCTTCTCTGGGTTTCTCAAAGGATGGAAATTTCCTCTTGTCATTAAGAACTTTTGAATGAATAACTGTAATGTTGAATAAAAACATTAGAAGGTAGGAGACATGAACAAAATTTACAATTGGCTTGAGTTTGTTCAGGGTAAGTATCAGGTTTTACCCCATCTTAAGTCTTCTCTAGAACATGCGCACCACTGATAATGTTTAGTTTTTTTATCCCAAGTGAAGAAAAATGAACTAATCTAAACTCTAATTAAATAGTGGTTCATTGTGCAAGTAGCTGAGAATATTACCTTCTCATAGTTGTTCATCTTAAGTGTTTCTTTGTTCACGGTATTTTAGGTAAAATGGGTGGGAGACATTGTGGATTAAAAAATACAAAATGATGCTGAATCATCTTTGAAAGGCTGTCCCATTGCAGCCAATCATAAAAGCTAACCCCATCAAACTCACCCCTGCCAAGGGAGTCTGAGTGCCCACGTGGGAACTTGCTGTTCTGAATGCTGTTGTCCTGGTCAGAGTTTACTAAAGTGTAAACACCACTTCACAATTTTAGTGATGACAGCCCAGAGCAGCCAAAAAAGATGCCTCCTCTGCTAAGGGGAGAAAACGGTGTACCTAATATCTTGTGCCACAACCCTACCTCACATTACTTGCCTCCCACCCTGAAGCTAGATTAAGCAAAGAACTGGTCACCAAGAGCCTATAATTTCTAAGTGTCCCACCTAATGCAGGACCCTAAAGGTATTGTTAAAACTGCATAGGAAGCTGAGGGATGCAGAGCATGGGGAGGCAATAGCTACAAATGGGTGCCCTGGAGGCTCGGCAAGCACCTGCTCTGCTGGCTCTTTACCCCACCTCCCATCCCTATCTTCCAGGTACCGTCTCAAAGAGGGAAGTGGCATTCTATTGTATTGTAGAAATCAGGCATCTGTCTGGCAGTCTCACACACTGCAAGCAGATAATCAATAACACTTGATGGTGATGATAATGATTGTGATGATAGTAGTAATAATAACCATAAGGAACAACATGTAATTTGATTCACATAAAATCTTGTGAATTGCAGAATACATAGGATTTATATTATTAACCCTACTGGACAGAAAAAGTACTGGAGACCCAGAAATGAGTCTAGGATCCCAGAGTTATGTGGGACCACAGTGGCCCCCTCCCCAGCACGACCACCACACCAGAATGAGATAGCTGGTCCAGGAGACTACCACTGCTATAAGGGATGTCCCTGCTCCTTCTGCCCCCCAGTGCCTCCCTCGACACCAGTCCACTCCCAAACTCCCCACACCCACTTAGGGCTTCACCACAGGGCCATTGGAACCTGGCTTCCAACCTGCAGGTCAAGCAACCAGATCTGTTATATGGTATAGGTTTTAATTTACATACAGGCAAGCCAGTGATGAAACAACTAGCAGAAAACAGTTCTGTGTTTTCCAATTGGGAGGAGTGAGATAAATAAAAATACATTAAATGGTGCTGGAATTCTTCCTCTCTCCCCACTTTCAGTGTCTTTGGTCACAGTAAATTGAATATTAATATGACAATAGTTAATAGCAGATGTTTTTTGGTGTTCATATAGTTCAATAGTTACAGCATATTTTACTTTGTCTTCCAAATGTTTCTTGGTGGGTAAAATGTTTCAAAACATCAGTCTCTCTGATTTTTTCTTACTATTTTTTTCAAACTTTGCAATAATGGGATGAAAAGAATAAGCCAGTACTAGTTCTATGTTAGAGGATAAAGCCTGTTCTTTCAAACCTGCCTTTCTCTATTAAATATTAATAGACACACCTCAATAACCTTGACCTCCTTATGCAATGAAGAAACAGAAAAGCAGAATCAACATGCCTGGCTTGATGATTAACTAGTGATTACAAAAGACTGGGATTTGAGAAAGCTTTTCATTTTCCTTTGCTAATAATGGTTTTAGTCAGAGTTACAATTAAGATCTGTGAGGTGAAAAGAAAGCAGATTGAGAGGGCACTTGATTCCATTGTTTCTAATGAATCAGGACCCATATACTCTGCCATCACAAATAGGGGGTTGGCGACCAAGAAACCATAGTGAAAGCTCTTTCAGATCGATCCACATGAGATTATTCATCAAAGCCATGACATTTTCGACATTTCCCTTCAGCATGACTCTACTGACCACCTATTATGTGTCCAATAGCAGGGCTTGCAAAGGTTCTTCTAATTTTAAATTGAGTCAAAAGATTCTGGCCTCTAGTAAAAAATATATATATATATTTATATCTTTCTTTGTTAGCAATAATTTAGTTGCATTTATTCACTGTAAGATTTTAGGAGACAAAATCTCAGGCATAACTTGACTTTTAAACAACCTTTGTGAGGAAAGAGATATTTGGTTTCATCACCCAGGAAATGTATTATTCGCCATATGAAAGTGTGAGGTCCCCAAGACATTAAAACAATCATTCAGTTCATCAACCGGATTCGTAGATGTCCAATTCAGAAACACATCTCTTGTGTATAGAACTAAATTCCCTTGAATTTTTTATTTGTTTTTTGTCATGCCCATAAATTCCTATGGAACATTGGTCCTTGTCAGTGAAACATCCTCAGACTGTGAATGCCCCCTGGCATATGCACTGACCAAAAGTACTCCAGGGTCTTAAATTTCATATTTCAGGCTGGTTCATTTTAGGATGAGAGCTGGGGGACTGAACAGATTGCAGACTTGGAACAGAATTAAGTTGACCCAAATACGTTAGGTCTTTGCAAGGGGCCTAGAGGAGTCACAAAGTGTTTAAATTCTGTGCTTTCCAAGACAGGGGAGGGAGGAATACAGAGTGACAAAGGGCTTCTTCCTTCATGGCGCTCCTTAGTGTCTGGCCCTAGGGTATGCCTTACTTTATCAGCTAAGGATAGAATAGGCTGTCACCACTATGCCACCCTCACTGCCATCAGTGTCTGCCACTGCTCCCATTACCATCATTGGAATCACCACTGCCACCAAGCTCACCACCACAACCTTCACTACTACCAGCTCACAAACTCTACCACTGCCACTACCACCAACACCATCCCTACAAAACTACTACCTTTGTCATCCCTACTGTTGCCACCACCGTATCCAACTCCACCACAGCCATTTCCACTGTCACCATCATCATCACTGTTAGCACTGATGAGGTCCTTTCTATAAAACAAGTCTGGTGGCAATAGCTTTCTATGAATTATCACAGTTAATTCCCATAAAACCCTATGTCACAGCTGCTGCTGTTTGCCTCATGTTACACAAAGGAAACAGTGACTTCAAGATGTTAAGTTACTCCGACAAAGTCAAGTACCTTTGGAGTAGTTTGTCACATGTGACAAGAGCTCTCTGTTCTTCCTCCCTCTTCCTCTCTGACCTATCCCAGATGGAATACTTTCTAACCTGCTAATTTATGGATTAAAGTTCTGTAGGGAATTAACAAAAAGTAAGAAAGAGCATGAGGAAGGAATGAAAGAGAAAAAGGGAGAGAAAGAAGGAAAATAAAATTTTTTATAATACATTAAAGTAAGATTTCAATGGCAAATTTCCAGTTTGAGAGTTTACGTTAACTTTAAAGGGTAATTGATGGGGCCATCCGTATTCCACCCCCTCCTCCAGCATACATCTCCAGGCAGCTTTACCCAAAGGAAGAGAGGGGACAAGCCCCAGGGTACTGAAATTGTGAAGGGAGGAGAGTGTCAGCAGGAGTGAGCTAGAGGGGAGAAACACAGGCAAAAGACAAACTGTGTACAGAGAGGAGGAGCTTGGGTTCCCAGTCCACAATTTCCCTTGCATGCCCAGTCCACCAAGCCGTGTCCTCTGATGTCACCTGTAGGGAAGCAGGTAAATCTACAGTTAAGATGATTATTTGATTCTGTAACACAAGAATCAAATTTATGCTCAGATAGAATAAAGCTGGTGTAAAATTCACTCAAATCTTAAGAAGTCTGGTGGGGCAAACCCCAGTCACAGACACAGAGATACATAAACACCTCTATGCCCAGCTCTCCCCTCTTACTCTGGAGGGGAGAACAGAGCCAGGAGGAGGGATCTGCCAGACCTGACTCCCTCATGACAACCTCCCTGTCATGACATAAGAACCAGCCACTGTTAGCTGGTCTCATCCAACTATAACACGTGAGAAGTTGTACTGATCTTCAATTTTCTCATCTTATCTACCCACTATTGATAACTGGAAGTGCCAAGGAGCTCTCCATATCATTGTCTCTGGCTGCCACACCTTCCCCTCTTACAACACAATTTAAGAGCCACCTCATTGGAGCATGGAAATGCAGACCACTGAAAGGAAGTTCCTCTCCAATCTGACCCTGGACTATCTTTTCAACCTGCCTTCCCTGACACCACTGACCCAAATTGTGGGTCAGAACCCTCCTCCTGGCTCCCAGAGAATTTGTGCACCACTTAATCACAGTATGTCTCACATGCGATTACAGCTTTTCAAATACCTGCCCACCCAACCCCATCCTCTCAAGACTGTGTTCCACAGGCTGGAACTTTTCTTCACTTTTATTCTTTCTGCCCTAGTAAGGCCAGTCATAGGTGGGACTCCATGCGGATTTGAAGAATGAATGAATGAAGAGCAAATGAATGAATGAATGATCAAAATGAGATTTTAAAACCTATAATTGATGAGTCACATTTACCCATGTCCTTAGGCAGAGGTTTTCAATTTTTTTTATTCATAGCCACCAAGGAGAAATATAATTTATATTGTGACTCAGTATAAACATCAATGTATATAATGGAAACAAAAGTTTCATGAAGTGAATAATTACACATGGGAGGCATTCCAATCTATTCCATTCCATTCCTTTACTATCTAGGCTTGCATTTTCCAAAAAGGAGATTCTGAGGTAAAGACTCAAAAGGAGTAGTTTACTTTGGAGGTGATCTCAGAAAAACCAGTACAGTGAGGCAGCAAGACAGGGAAAGCAAGGCAGCCAAAGGAGGTATACACGTGTGCCTCACCTCAGTCAGACCTTTGAACTAGTGTGTCCAGTGTATTTATGGACAAACATCCTCAGTCATTGGTTGGGGACTGCTGAGGGGAGATGTAACACTGATGTCCTGGTACTTGTGACCTGCTAGAAGGCCCTGACCAAAGCTGTTTCAGTGGCAATAGAAGTGTACAATAGTGGCAATAGAAGAGGTGTACACAGAAGTGTTAAGGGGAGACAGTATTCTACCAACACCATCTGCTACACGTACTATTTTGTGTTTTTAGAACATCTGGGTCACTATCCACTAAATTGATTTCATGGCTCACAACCCACGGTTTGAAGAGCAGTGTTCTAATAGAGTATTTCCTAAAGAGCAGTCCTTACCATCCAGGTACTGTGGCCCCTGAAATAGCTTAGGTGGTATATAAACAAATATTTTTTAACATAAATCCTCATTTGAAAATTGCAACCTGCTTGAGGATAAAAGGTAAAACTAGCACTTCCATGATATATTTAGAATTTTCTTCCTGAATAAATGCATTTAGGGAAAGAAAGTAAATTGGTTTAAATATAAATATTAAGCGATACGTGGATATGAAGAAAAAATGGGGAGGTGAAGCTTGAAAGGATGGAGCTCGGGATTTCTTGCCCCTTTACTGCAGTCCTGTCTGATTTGCTCTTTCAGTCTAACTGTGCTTCTTTCTCCCCCTGCAGAAATTTGGCTACGGAGGCTGGGTGCAGCTCCAACACCACAGCAAGGTGAGTTTCCCCCAAAGTGTGAGCATGCCTGGGGCCCAGCGACGTCCTGAGCCTGAGACCTTCCTGCAGGCCTCCAGGAGCTCTCGGCTCTCCTGCTGACTCTGTAGTGGGCAAGCGAGCAGCACTGATGTTTCTCAAAATCATTAGAAAAAATGAGGGTGACTTCAAAGGCATCATTCCGGAAGATAAAATTGGAATCTGAGAAGCCATTTAAAAACCTTTCCTTTTTTTCACCTCGAACCAATTTTAGCATGTATTGCTCTGCCTTAAGGAAGCGAGCTGGCCCTCTCCACAGGTCAGTATTACATATTAAGGCCAACCAAATAAATGGAACAGTTTAGGTCTGAGCACAAACTAAATAAATTAAAATTAAACACTGGAGACAGGGAAAAGAAGCCACTCTTTGGTTGATTTTGGTAAGAGGAAAAAGTGAAAGGAGGCCTGAGACTGAGGTCAAAGTCTAGAGCTGCACAGAGGTCATGTCTGACTTCATTTTCAGAGGTAGCCAATGCCTGTGTGGAGTTCAGCAGGAATATTCCTCTGCTGAACACGGGTGTGTCTTCTAGCTGGAACACGGGTGTGTCTAAATCAGGCCTGGAAGGCTTGTGGACTGGGAAGATGCAGTTACCCTGTGCAGGGGTAACGCAATGCATTGCGATAACGTTAGGACTGCTTTTGCTGGAGGACATAGACTTGGGCACTAATATTGGAGAAGGCCTCCTGGAAGAAGTGATGCCCATCCTGAGTCTTAAAGCAGGGGTGAAGCCTTGCCCAAGGAATAAAGGAAACAAGTTTCCAGGAAGTAAAGACAGGGAGCAAAGGCATGGAAATATTTATATATGTTAGTCCAGAACTCAAGCACTTGGCTATGGCTGGGAACAGCCCTTCTCACAATGTGATCCAGAGACCAGCCAGTCCAGCTTCACTTGAGAACTTGGAAGAAATACAAACTCGGGGACATCAACCCAGATCTACCAAATCAGGAACTCTGAGGACCTGGCCAGCAATATGTGTTTTGACAAGCCTTCCAACTGATTTTGATGTTTACTGAGGTTTGAACACCACTGGCTATATTTATTCATTCCCTGACTAATTTTTATTAACACCAGTTTTGTGCCAGTCCCCCCAGTCTGGACATGAGAAATACACTGGTAAGACAGACATGCTGCCTGCCCTCATGGTACTCAAATCAGGAGGAGACAAACAAACCTGATCACCTTGGAGAACTGAATGAAAAACAGGAAGATTAGTTGGTGCTGGCTGCACAGGCAGCTAGTGAAGACTTGGGGGAAAGGAAGGAAAACCTGGGGTAGTGTCTGTGGCTCAGGGAACACCGGGCTCTGTTCAGGGAACAGAGAGGAGGGCAACCTGGCTGAGATGTAGTGAAGGGGGCAGATGGTAGGAAATGAGACTAGTGAGGTAGGCAGGGGCCAGATTATGAAAGGACTTTTAGCACTTGCTAAGGAGTGTGGACATGATTTTCAACACAATGCAAATTCTTTGAAGGGTCCTAATACCTTAAAAAGACCACTTCAGCTGTAGAGAATGGAGGCAGGCAAAAGTTTTGGGAGCAAAGTGGTGGGAAGAAGCTGAAGAGGAGGACAGAAGCCTCATTAGATAGAGCCCTGGAGGTTGGCTTAGGCCATTGAACTTGATCCTGAAGGCAGTGGGGAATCATTACAGTTTTCAATATCAGAATCTCTGGGGCACTTCATTCGTACTTGCATTACAGAGCACCTGACTAAGCATCAATTCAGACACTGAGCTGCACCTCTGTCATGAAAAGTGCTAGTTCCAAATCTGGAGCTAGTGATCTAAGCTCCCCTTAAGTCTCCCCAAGGAAGAGAATGATTTGAGTGGAGTGGATAACAAGGCTGCTAGGAAGCCCCAAATGCAGGGAGCTGCAGCCTGTGATTTCTTTTTTTAACTCCATATCCCAGGCTCCAGTCTGTAGCCTTGATGATAGAATTGAATGGCCTTCATTTCATTTTGTTTTCATGTCAAGAGACTGCATAAACTTTAAGCAAATTTCAAAAAAAATAAAAAAGAAAGACAATATTTCTAGTCCCATCTACTGCCTTCATATTTCTAGCAAAATACGACACACTGGTAGTCTAATAGAAAAAACAGTGACACTCTCCTTCCTTCTCTCTCAAAAACAAAACAGAACCAAATCTGTATTTTTTTACAGTGGTTAGGGATTACAATCACTGGAAAACAACATGTAAATGTATACAAATATTCAAATTAGGCTAAGAGCAATGAGAAAATCCAGTATTGTGGGGTTGAAATTCATTTTTATTCTCCAACATTTCTTTGGTGAACAAACATTTTCTGTCCCCATGTCTGATTTATCTCAGAGACCACTGTTCCCTGAAAGCTCTTTTCAAAACATTTCCCTGGTCTGCCTTACTTGTTTCTTTTCTTAACCTTTGGTTTTTCAATGCCTTTGGAATGAATGGAGGGGTATCTGTTTGCCACAGTAAAGCTTTGTTCAGAATTGAAAAATACCATTTGCCTTTTGGTTGAATATTTATAAAAGTATAGGTAGCAAGATATTTTGTATGGCTTCCTCTGAGGAGCTACAGGGGGCAGGGGTGGAAGTGAGTCTTGATGGCAAGAACACCTAGGAGCATTTCAAAGGAGAGACATAGGGCCTCTTCAAAGCCCTGGGTCAGCAGCATCCACAAGTATCCACTGAGTGTTTTTTAGGCCTTTGGGACTACAAGCACACACACACACGTGCACACCATTTCACCATTTCACACACACACTATTCTGTGTAATCTCTGACCATTGGGTTCTTAATCTGAAAATGATTTCCCCTCACAGGGAAGCAAAGAAGACACCCAAATGGATAAAAAACATACAAATAATGATAATTCTGTGCTAAAATGGTAATTTTGTGGTAACTGGACAAAAGAGACAATAAATAACAAGGAAGGTCTGGGAAAGTGGAAAGCCCAAGGCCAGGGGTAGTTTTTATAAAGATAAACAAGCATAAATTAGTGATCATCTACTCCAGCATTTGGAAATAAAGGAGTTGCAACCCAACAGTGAGTCATAACAAGAAGTCAGTGGGTCAGGTAGGACTGCTTTAAAAATGAAATACATTACAAAAGAAAGTATAGCAGTATGCATTGTTCATAATAAGAGTAAATACTATTCATGAAAATAAAATTTTTTCCAGTTTGTTATCAGTATACAGCTCCACTGGGTCACAATGGAAACTATATTTCCACATGTCAGGTCACAGCCAAAGTTATTGAAAGCTATTAATCGAGTCCAGTGCTATCATTTTATATTTTTATTCTGAAGGTTAATTTTTCATTACACAAGTATTATTTCAATAATTTTTTTTTAATTCAGCCCTGACTGGTGTGACTCAGTGGATTGAGCGCTGGCCTGTGGACCAAAGGGTCACCAGTTTGATTCCCAGTCAGGGCACATGCCTGGGTTACAGGCCAGGTCCCCAGTAGAGGGTGCACAAGAGGCAACCACACACTGATATTTCACTCCTTCTCTTTCTCCCTCCCTTCCCCTCTCTAAAACTAAATAAAGTCTTTAAATAAAATAAAAATAAACATAAATAAAATATTTTTAAAGTATTTAAAAAATCAAATAATTGCAGATAAAACTACAGTTCCCTTGGGTTTAAAACCAATTCCTGTTAACAGTTTGGTGGGTATTTACCCAGACTTTTTCCTATTACTCTACTTATGTATACATGTACTATAGAAATACATAGCATTATTTAATATAGCAATGTACATTTTTTGCCATATCAATCAGGCTCCAAAGCAAAAAATAAATGGGACACTCAAATTAGAATACTTCAAAAAGAGTTAATAAGAACGTATAAAGGTGTACGCATGTAGTGAAGTAGTAAAGATAAACAGGGGCTAGGTCATGCAGGGTATTACAGAGCTGGTTAAGGAGTTGTATTGTACCTTCAGGGCAGTGGAAATCCATTCAAGAGTTTTTTGTGGGGCAGTGGCAAGATCTAATTTAGGGACTTTTTAAATTTTTTATTTAACTCTTTTTAATTCTAGAGAATGGTTGTTCTTCCACATTCTTTCATCTTTCTAATATTTTAAATCATGTTTTATTTTTTAATAACAGTGACATACAATATTATATCAGTTTCAGGATTATAGCCCAGTGATTAGACATTATATAATTTACTAAGTGATCATCCAGATAAATCTCATACCCATCTGACACCATACATAGTTAACAGAATATTATTGACTGTATTCCCTATGCTGTATTTTATATCCTTCTGACTACTTTTAAAGTATATTTTATTGATTATGCTGTTACAGTTGTCCCAATTTTTCCTCCTGTGCCCACCTCCATCTGGTACCCCCATTCCTTCCAGCAAGCCTCCCCTTAGTTCATGTCCATGGGTCATGCATATAAGTTCTTTGGCTTCTCCATTTCCTGTACTATTCTTAACATCCCCCTTCCTATTTGGTACTTATAAATTATGCTTCTTAATCCCTGTACCTTTCCCCCATTCTCCCTCTTCCCCCTCACCACTGATAACCCTCCCTGTGATCTCCATATCTATTATTTTGTTCCTATTCTAGTTGTTTGCTTAGTTTGCTTTTGTTTTTTAGATTCAGTTGTTGACAGTTTTGAGTTTGTTGTCATTTTACTGTTCATAGTTTTTATCTTCTTTTTCTTAGATAAGTCCCTTTAACATTTCATGTAATAAAGGCTTAGTGATGATGAACTCCTTTATCTTTACCTTGTCTTGGAAGCACTTTATCTGCCCTTCAATTCCAAATGATAGCTTTGGTGGATAGAGTAATCTAAGTTGTAGGTCCTTGCTTTTCATCACTTTGAATACTTCTTGCCTGTCCCTTCCTTCCTGCATAGTTTCTTTTGAGAAATCAGCTGATGGTCTTATGGGAACTCCTTTGTAGGTAACTCTCCGTTTAAGATTCTCTCTTTATCTTTAACCTTTGGCATTTTACTCATGATGTGATTTGGTG